TGAATGAATATATATATATATATGTGTGAGTGTGTTTGTATGTATTTATACATTTTTTATTATTAATAGTTCATTTGTTTCTATTGCTAAATTTTGGTTTAAAAACAATTTATTGCTTACTATAAAATACTACAGTATTAAATGTGGGAAATCATTAATTAAAAGGTTATTAGAAAATTAAGCTAATAAACACTATTAAATAGCTTGAGTAAATATTAATATAGTGTCATACATTTGTTACATGTAAAAAGATTTTTATTACATATAATGTATTATTGCTTACATTAACTTGCTATTATTTCCTTCATCATAAATTAATCCATTATATAAATTAAACCTGTCCAAATTAGATCGTTCAGCAAGGCCAGCAAACGTGTACCTGCCATATTATTGTCAGATAATAATGACTGATCAGCTATAATGACTGATTAAAAACTGTTCTGTCTATTATATTGAATGGCTTCGGAAACAATGCTCCCCATTCGGCCGTCTCGATCACAATATTTGTGAAATAAAGTAAAGTAAACACTATTGTTTATTGTGTACACTATTTATTAATCATATATATAAAAATATATTGATGATGATGTTCAAAAAGACGTTAATAACATTAACATCCGTCGTTACCATTTATGGTTTGCCTAGATTGTGTGTGCCTAGAACGTGTGTGGTTCTGCGGGCCTGCAGCTGGATATATCTCGCCTTGGCTGGGTTAGTTGGCATGTTCTCCCACTGTTGGTGTGGGTTTCCTCCGGGTAATCCGGTTTCCCCTACAAATCCAAAAACATATGGTAGGCTAAATTGGCTGTAGTGTATGTGTGTGAATGGGAGTGTATGGATGTTTCCCAGTGATGGGTTGCAGCTGGAATGGCCTCTGCTGCGTAAAACATATGCTGGATAAGATAACGGTACATTCCGCTGTGGTAATCCCAGATTAATAAAGGGACTAAGCTGAAAAGTAAATGAATGAATGAATAAATAATTGTTTGTTAATGTTAGTAAATACATTATTTAACATGAACTATTCATTCATTAATTTTCTTTTGGCTTAGTCTCTTATTTATCAGAGTTTACCACAGTGGAATGAACCGCCAACTTATCCAGCATATGTTTTACACAGCGAATGCCCTTGCAGCCGCAACCCAGTATTGGTTAACACCCATACACTCTAACATTCACACACACTGTAAATTTAGTTGATCCAATTCACCTATAGCGCATGTCTTTGGACTGTGGGGGACTGTGGGGGAAACCGGAGCACCTGGAGGAAACCCACGCCAACATGGGGAAAACATGCACTCGGCACTCGAACCAACAACCTTTTTGGTGTAAGGCGATAGTGGTAACCACTGAGCCACCATGCCACCTTAACATTAACTAATAGACTATTTTTTAAAGTGTTACCTATGAACATAATAATACAGTATTACTGTTTCTTTCAAAAATTATTTTAATGTAATTTTTTACTTTATTTTTGGGGTGAATAGAAACATTTATACATACATAATCTTGTTTTTTGTGCAAATTCAGATAAATTTTTTTTACAAAACTAATTTATTTAAAGTTGAAGTACAAAGTAAAAGTCTTAACTGTTCTTTTTGATCAATTTAATGCGTTTTTAAAACAACTTGTCCGGTTCAAGGGCTACATGATATTGGAAAAAAAAATGGACAATGCAAAATAGATTTTTTTTCTACAATACCTGTATATATTACTATATTAATACAATTTCACCAGATGACTTGAATCTGCTCTATTTGATATGGAAGCCCGTTCCCGCCACTGAATAAAATAAAAAAATAAAAAAATAAATACAATGTAAAAAATAAAATTATAAAATCAGAATCCTGAGTTATAAAGTCAGATTTTGGAGTCATAAAGCCAGAACTTTGAATTGTAAAGTCATAATTGTAAGTTATTAAGTCAGAGTTGCGAGTTATAAGGTCCAAATTGTGAGTTTAAGTCAGAATTGCAGGTTATTTACTTATATACTTAACTCGAAATTCTGACTTAATAACCTGCAATTCTGACTTTAGAATTTATTTATAATTATTATTTTTTTATTAATTCAGGGAACTCGGGAACGGGCTTCCATAATTTGGAAAATGTTCATTATTCATTATTTTTTATTTTTACATACACTTGACCTCAACTGCGATGATTTTGTATTGAAGTGTATCAGCATAAATGATAATAAACCCATTATAAACCATAGATAAATACAACAGCGCAAAGATACACAGAAAATAAACAATGCTATACCAGTATCTTGGGAGTCTTACAATATTCAGGCACTAAAAATGTAATAATCAAATGTAAAATAACACCGTAAAGTCTTCATTGGGCAAATGATTACATACAATTAGTTATGTATATACACACATGATAATTCCTTGTGTCCAAGTGGTTTAAATTACCTTGAAATGCTTACCGAGTTAAAAAAAAAAATGCAAACATTAACTTTTCATTGACTCCGCAATATAATGAAGTGTGTTGTGTCAACTGTAATCCTACAATGAGACTATTGCGAATGTGCATATTAAGATATCAATGCTGACACAATATATTGTCCAGCCCCTATATCAAACAAACTGCTATGTTATAGAATCATATATTATATCCAATAATATTAGATCTGTTTACAAATTTATAAATATCACTTTAAACAGAAACACTGAATGGCTGATGCTCGAGTTTGTGTACGTGCTGTTTTCATCTTATGAGGGCTAATCAGCGAGTGAACTGAAGTGCCACAGGGTTGTAACAATATACCAGTGAATGGTTGCGTCACTTAAATGAGCTCAAAGTCCCATTTAAAAGAGCTCTTTTGAATGAGAAAGTAATAAATGTGTGCAATTGTATTCAATTGGTATAATGATTGCTATCTAGAGTTGTTTCAGGAGTAAGTGGACCAGAAACATAATCAAGTATGTCAATACAGACAGTAATTCTTGGCCAGCAAATGCTAAATTCACTGCTATACTTTATACTGTTGTGTTATTGTGGTAGAAACAAACATGTAGTCAAAGGGGCGATCATTCATTCATTTATTTTCTTTTCAGCTTAGTCCCTACATAATTGGAAACCGGAGCATCTGGAGGAAACCCACGCGAACGCTGTGAGGGGCGATAATGTCACAGTCAAAAAATAGTCACATTGCAATAAAAAATTTATTATTCAAGCAGGCTGTGATATTCAACCCAGGCTCATCCTGAAAATGTACCCCTATATACATTTCTGGAGAGCACTAAATACGTCGCAGGAGATTTGTTTTTTTTTAGCCGTTTTTTTGCAAATCCACCAGAGGCCACTGTGATCTCACTGTTTTTGAGATCTCAAATTTCTCTCGCGAGTGCAATTCGCGCCTGCTCTTCTTGCATAAATCCACCAGAATGACTGAATGACCGACTGAGCACCGGTTGACCCACCCACCCACTTCACTAAACCAAACTGATAGTGTTTTCAAAAGCACCGGTTGACCCACCCACCCACTTCACTAAACCCATCCGATAGTGTTTTCAAAAGCACCGGTTGACCCACCCACTCACTTCACTAAACCCAAGCGATAGTGTTTTCAAAAGCACCGGTTGACCCACCCACTCACTTCACTAAACCCAACCGATAGTGTTTTCAAAAGTAATGCAGAAAAAAGCTATTTTTTGTATATACATATATATGTATATATATATATATATATATATATATATATATATATATATGTATATGTTTATGTATATATATATATATATGTATATGTATATGTATATATATATATATATATATATATATATATATGTATATATATATAGGGCACGTAAGTGGATGCACCTGTGGTGCGCACCAGCCTCAAATCCCACGGAAGGAGCTCTGGACTATAAGAGGAGGGACGATGCCAGATTACCGGGCCCAGGCATATTGTTTTACTTTTGCTCTGCCGTCACTGTTATTAATAAATAATTTAAAACGGTGTCGGTTCTCCACCTCCTCCTTCCCACACAACGAACTTCATTACAATATTTATATATATATATATATATATATATATATAATATTTTCTATATATAATATTTTCTCTTTTTCAGACCATTCTCTGTAAACCCTAGAGATGGTTGTGCAGGAAAATCCCAGTAGATCAGCAGTTTCTGAAATACTCTGACCAGCCCATTTGGCACCAACAACCATGCCACGTTCAAAGTCACTTAAATCACATTTCTTTCCCATTCTGATGATGCTCTGTTTGAACAGCAGCAGATCGTCTTGACCTTGTCTACATGCCTAAATGCATTGAGTTGCTGCCAGGTTATTGGCTGGTTAGAAATCTGCGTTAAGGAGCACCTGTACCTAATAAAGTGTACCTAATAAAGTGGCCAGGTAATGCACACATCATTACCATACTAAATCCCGAGAGTGTTCATGACAGAAATTGTATTTCAAAAAAATTTCAAGTTGAGTGGCTGCAAACAATTTAGATGAGCTGAATGTAATCAAACAAATGAAATTGAACCTTACTAAACGGAATTAGTTCGTTTAAATTCAGCCCGTATAAATTGTTTGCAACCTCTTAACTTAGAAAGATCTACTAAATCCAATGAATCATTTTTGTCAGTGTGTTCAGAGTTCACAAACAACACCTGCCATTCTGAATGATTCCAGTTTGCACTCTGACCATGTAATTGTTTTACTTTTGACACCACGGCCCCTCAACAACCTACTTTTAATCTCATCCAGCCGGCATTACTGCCAGAGTATTTTGTTTAAACATCATAAAAAGGTTGCCCTTTCGCAACAGCGCACAGTGGTTTGTACAAACCCACACACCCACGCGTACAGTAACCACACACTTTTGAAGAAGGCACACACGCACACAATGACAGCGCCTAAGAATAAACATCAGCACATATCACTGACTCGGATCGGTCAATGCATATATGCCTAGCGCTCAAGTAGATGGGCGTTCGAGAGTGACTGTGAATGAGAGAGAGAGAGCCTATAATCAAGCACAGTTAAGCAGTGGGAAGGGTCACATGTGAGCGGGAGGGAGAGAGAGAGAGAGAGCGAAACATCTCCCATCTGTGTTTATTCTCTTTACAGTGTAAGAAAGGCAGGCAACAGAGAAACAAGCCGCTTTGATGAGCTCAGATGGGATTTTTACTGATGGGATGCGGTCCCTGCAGGAGATGTCCAACCTGTGACTGCCTTGGCTAATGATCCTGTCTGATCCTTGACGTCTGCGCTCAAAAACACACGCTCTTTCACCTGAGGAGTCCGTTTTCCAGAGTTTCCTGACTGGAGAAAGATGTCTGAGCTCAGCTCGAAGAAACAGGGATTTAAAAAATGCCGGAGCGCCACTTTCAGCATTGACGGCTACAGCTTCACTATTGGTAAGAGCAGCTGGTCAGGTGTGTGTGGGGGTGGATGTGTGTGTGTTACTGTGGACAGCTCTGATTTTTTACTTATCATTTACTGTGCGAGTGATCATGGTGCCAATGCAAGTGCTGTTTTTATACTATATATATGTATATTAGTGTGTTTAGTGAGAGAGAACTTGACTGTATTGTTATGCTCAAACTGCTGTCAGACTTTAAGGACATAAGTATTAAAAGCATAGTTCACCCAACAATTTTATTTACTCAATTTACTAAACATTCACGTGTTTCAAACCTGTTTGTTGTTGTCAAACACTAAAGAAGATCATTTAAAGTCAGCTAAAAACCTGGCATCCATAGTAGGTAAATCAAATACTATGGAAGTCAATGCTTACAGGTTTCCTGCTTTCTTTAAAATATCTTCTTTGGTGTTTAACAGATGAAAGAAACCCAAACTGGTTTGGATCAAGTGAAAGGTGAATAAATAATGACAGAGTTTTCAGTTTTGTGTGTTTCAATCTCTTTAACTTTGCATTGGTTATTTTGGGTCCCAATTTCCTTAATGCTCTGTGATTATCATAATACTAACAATAATAATGCTATAAAAATATAATAAATAGCAATAATAAAATTATTATTCATTTTGTTTTTAGTATGGGTTTATTGTTTTACTAGTTGTATTATTGTTGTTGTTAAAAATATTTAGTACAACAGAAATTATTTATCGCTGTCATCATCATCATCATCATCATCATCATCATCATCATCATCATCATCATCATCATCAGTTTCTTAATAAACGTTACTAATGGTTACTAATTGTAATGGTTGAATTTTAAATTCTTAAAATATTATAAATTATTTTTATATCAAGTTCTAGTAGAAATACTGTTACTGTTGCTTTGATTTACACTACTACTAATACTACTACTACTACTACTACTACTACTACTACTAATACTAATAATACTAATAATAATAATAATAATAATAATAATAATAATAATAATATTAATAATAAAACAATAATAATAATTGTGAATTTTTTATATGAAAACATAACATTAATAATTTCTCATTTTTGATTATTGTTTTGTTGTTATTTTAAAACATGTAAAAATTAAACTAACAGTTAATAATAACAACAACAACTATAATAATAATAATAATAATAATTATAATTATAATAATTTGGAATATTTATAAATAAACATTACAGATCTTAGTAAACTAGAAATATGTTAATAATTTATAGTGTTATTATTACTATTATTATTTATTGATTCATTTATTTGCCTTTGGCTTAGTCCCTTTTTTCATCAGGGGTCGCCACAGTGGATTGAACCACCATCGTATCCAGTATATGTTTTATGCAGCTGATGCCCTTCCAGCTGCAACCCATCACTGGGTAACATCCATACACATCCATAAACATGAGTCACATACATACACTATGGACAATTTAGCTTACCCAATTCACCTATAGCACATGTCTTTGGACTGTTGGGGAAACCGGAGCACCTGGAAGAAACCCACGTGAACACAGGGAGAACATGCAAACTCGCCACAGAAATGCCAACTGACCCAGCCGGGATCTTCTTGTTGTGGGGCAACAGTGTTACCCATTGGGGTTGAACGACTTTAGATTTTTTAAAGTCAACATTTATGTTATTAGTCGAGTTGATGTCGAGTAGTTGCTGGTGACGCCATCAATAAAACAAGTTGCAAATGATTTACAACATTCCACAATTATAATAAAAATATTCACTTAAAGTTCATGTAAATCATTGACGTTGACATAAGAAAAATAACATAAAAATAAATTTTAGTAATCCGAGGGCAGTTTCATTTGGTGAACCTACCCTGCAGGCAAGATGTCAACATGACGTCATATTGACGTTGTACTCCAACGTACCCCAATGTCATGGGGATGTTGGATTTTGTTTCGAAATGAAAATCGGGTTGACGTCAGAACCCAATTTTAGGTAGACGTCAATGTCCAACGTCCAACCTAAAACCAACCTAAAATCAACCAAATATCAACATCTAATCATGTTACACCTTGATGCTGTGTGGACGTTATCACATCTGTCAGACGTTAGATTTTGTTCACTGTCCAACACAGCCTAAAATCAACCAAATATCAACGTCATTTGATGTCGTTATTGGATATCAAAATAACGTTGTCCTTAGACGCTGGCTACATTGAATTTTAGTCACCTGACGTCATGACCTAAATTTAACCTAATATTACAAAATTTGAGCAGAAACACGTTTTGTGTAAAAAATTCAATAAAAAACACCATAGCAGACCAGTCAGAGAATGTTTGCATGTGGAATCTATTGAATTTAATCATGCTAATGTTTTGGAGTTCTCCAAGACTTATTTAAACAATTTAAAGAAAGGGCGTTTGAAACATGTCAACACATCTATGGTCAGCATCAACCCGATACATCAATGTTTATAGAAAGTTTTGACCCTGACAAAACATGAGGGTTAAATTACTCTCAGTGTTTGTGTTTCTGCATATGCGAAGGTTCCAGCAAAGACTTCAGAGATGTCTCAAGGCACCACCGATCTTAACACAGATAAACACAATTGAATTGGCTTTCCTCACATGCAAATTCCCTGTCTTCTGTTGTGTCATAGTAACACAAAATCTCAACAAAGTGATTGTCTCTTTTACTCAGTCTCTATTGGTTTCTCCCAGTCGCCTGAGTACAATTAGATTACATAAGAAATAACTTTTTTTTTTGCATGAAATGAGTCACACTGCTCTGTGTTCTCCAAAAAAGCCTGACTTCATTTATTGCGGGACACAGTTTCAGGACATTGATTCCTCTGACAGGGTTTAAGCCATTTAGGCTCTGAACAATGAGAGCTCGAATGGCAAAGTGACATGACAGTTGTTGTGGCAGAACATCGGATGGTGGTAATTATACTCCGAAAAGGTCAAGGACTTATATAACAGAGCACAATCATGAGATGAAGAAGTGGGGAATCCACAGCCTTGCTTAAAGGGTACACATTAGAACCCTTTTCATTAAATGCGAAATACATCTGCAGAAAGTTTCAGTGAAGCTTCAGCTTAAAATATCGGCTCGCTCATGATACCTTGTTGAATTCGCCTCTATTTGTCTGTGAGCAACAACTCGCCATTTCAACTAAAGGCTGATTGCAGATATGTGCCCAGGTCTACATTTCTGGGCACAGCAAAAAATGTAACCTTAAGTACGTCGGCTTGCATTTTTGTTTTTGCAAGTCCAACAGAGATCGCTGTACGCTTTTTTAAAGATTTTAAATTCCTATTCTATTCCATATATATATATATATATATATATATATATATATATATATATATGTGTATATAATATATATTTATTATTATTTTTTTTATAGACGTTTTTGTAAAAACATAACACTCAATGGTGTACATCATACAAATCTGTTTACAAAATTTTCTCTGTGTTATTACCGGATAATAATTAGAACATGCACCAAAACAAAAGCAGACAATACAGCAACTATGGAGCACAATCAAAAAAAATAATTAAAAATCTCAGCCAGACTAATAAAATAAGAAACAAAATATAATGACATGAAAAAATTAAGGAAATTTTTTTTTTTTAACCAAAAACAAACAAACAAAAAAAACCCCCAGAAATATTATTAACCTATACACAACCCAGGCTCATTCGTGAATAGTAGCCCAGCGGACATTTCTGGAGACTGCGAAATATGTCCCGGGAGGTAAGTATTTGTGGAGTTTTTGTTTTCATGTCTCGAACACCTCTTGCAAGCATGCCCTGTTCACGCCCGTGCTGTTCTCGTGTAAAAAGCCGCTGGAGGCTTCATAATTCACGCTCTCCAGAAATGTAGAAATGGGTACGCAATGTATCCACCATGAGCCTGTGTTGTGCCTTTTTATGTCTGTGCCTTTAAATGCAAATGAGCTGCTACTTTTCAGAAGAGGGCGAAGCCTTTAAACATTATTCTAACACCCCAGAAACAACAAAACAAAAGTAGTCAGAAATAAGGGACAATTCATAGATTGCCATGTGTTGGAAGGATTTTAAATGCATTACAAAGTAATAGCTCATAGTAACATTTGTTAGCTACCTTTTAATGAATAGGTATATTTGATGAAGCACATATCAGTGTCCTCGAAACTGCACAGATCAATAAAGGCTCCAGAAACTGTCACTGAGTTATTATAGTCACTACTAATGTTTGAGGATAGCACATATATTTTAACTGTGATCAAAATTACCTGTAGCTACCTGTGATTTAATAGGATAGTTCACCCAAAAATGAAAATTACCTCATCGTTTAATTTCTCTCATGTGGTTTTTACACCCTTATGCTGGTTGCTGACAGCAATTGACTTCCGTAGTAGAAAAAAAGAAATACTATGGAAGTCAATTGGTGCCAGAGTTTTTCAAAGTATCTTCTTTTGTTTTTAACAGAAAAAAGAATCTCAAATAGGTTTTGAACAAGCGAAAGGTAAATAAATAATGACAGAATTGTCTTTTTTTAGGGTGAACCATGCTTTTAAACTATTTTATTGGATCCTTCAGACAGTCCATGAAATACATTCATGTAGCTGTTGTGACGTAAAGTTGATTACACTCATCCACAATATTGCTAGCATTCAGAAATGGCTGACCCTAGCTTGTGAATCAGCTCTGCTTACAATATAATTTGGTCAAATATAAAACATGTAACCAACATTCTCAACGCATTTTCCTCAAATATGAATATTGGTATATTGGGAGTTTAAAGAGGCTCTATGTTCATCCAGCAACACAACATTTGTACTGTTTTTCGGCTGTAGACATTGTAAATCTCTATAGCTGCTACAGCAAACAGACCAAAATGTGGGTTGACATATTTGTAGACTAGGAATATTATAATAAGAACTCCTTCCTATGTTACTAGTGATAGCCAGGGTTGCCTTGGCTCATATCAATTTTGGAAAATCATATTAAAAAAAAATCTATTACAAACATTGAAA